GGCCATATTCAGTAAAATTTTGAATACAAGTATATCAAGTTGCTATTTATTAATTTGGAAAGTTTGAGTTATAATTATTATGTAGAATTTTGAATTCACCAAACATTTATATCAAAAAATGCGTTAAATTAATAAGTTGTTACATATAAAAGTTAGCCAATAATAATCTAATTTTAATAAAAATTGGTATAATTAAAATTTAATATAGGACATATATATTGATAGAATTTAAGGATATATTAATATGCCGAATTTTTCAAAAAATTAAACAATGTTTCATATCGGAATTGTATATCACGTGATAAAATCGAAAAAATTCGTGTAATAAAATCGAAAGCCTGCTATGCTACATTTATGGAGAAAACATGGAATCATGTGATTATTAATAAAAACGGAATAATTACGGATTCAAAACACGGAATTAATTTTTTACAGGGAAACTTTTCTTTCTTCTTTTTGTAGGAGTTTTTATTACGTCTCTTAGTTTGTACAGGTCCCAGATGCAAAGGGCACACCTTTGAGTATATCTTTGGACATGAATTTCGGTAAGATGGGATAGGGTATTCCGAATTGCTTTAACAAAAAGTTAACGTCTTATTTCTTTTTTCTTGTTAGGCAGTTCCTTACTGACATTATAAATTCGTCTAAACAAATTGTTAATTTTGCATTAAATAAAAAATGATTTTATATTGATACATGCAGGCAATGCATGTATGTGATGTATATTTTTCCCATGATTTACTCCTTAAATTACATGAAATAATTATCATATAGGACAATATTTACAATATTTGCATGTACAGGGAATTTTGCACATATGGAGAAGTTTTTGCGCGTAGGGAAAATTTTGCACTTATGCGGTATGCACGGAGTGACGGAGCGCTGCGCCGCTGCTTCAGTTGATTTGCGCTGCGCTTGCACCGATCCAATTTACATCAATAAAAAAATTTGTTTATCAGTTATAAAAAAAAAAAATTTTTTTTTGTAAATTTTTTTTTCAAAAAAAAAAAAAAATACCCATATACACGATAACAGGGCGGACATCCTTATATCACCTTGCCGATCATTTGCCGATCTTATAGTAAATTGGGTGATATCAGACTTTGAAGCTTCGGCCGAAGTCACAGAAGTTTGGCCGAAACTTGAAACTTTTATGGGTCATAGTTTAACTGATTTAAAATCAATGGCCGAAGTAATCATTCCTAATTTTAGGTAATCAAGAAGTTATGGCTAAATTTATACTTGCAATTATATTTGTTATAATCTATATAATAAATAGAAATTTTCAAAATGCAATTTCTCAATCAATTAGTGTAAAAATTTTATGAAATTACTATCAAAATGTTTGTCTTGACGAGATGAATCTAAAAAACTAACAAAAATTAAATTTTAATCACTGGTTGTCACAATATCATTAAAATAATTTAATTTTCTAATTATTATTAAAATTCAGCCCATTTTTGGGTTTTAGTTAATTTTTGGATTTGAAAACATTAATTTTCGGACTTTGGATGAATTTTGATAACAAATAAAATTTATATAGTTAAATTTGCAAAAAAATGGTATTTTTTATGTGATAATATTAAAATAGATGATCGGCAAAATGATCGGCAATAATGTGATAATATGAGGATGTCCGCCCTGTTATACACGATTACTTCATTATAAAAAGCCCATTTCATTTAAAATCGCTTTTTGGTCAAATTCGTCATCGTTGCATTTTGTGAAACCTTTTTACATTTACAATATACTCATTTTCGTATAAATAATATTTTTTTTTATTTTATTTTATTTAAAAAAATTTTTCACTTGATTTCATGTTGCGTTGTCATGCATGCCAAATGAACTTTAATACAAGCCTTCATTCTATCTATCAAAAATAGTAAATTTGAATGAATTTTGCATGTCGATTCGAATTCTATCCATCAGTAAAAAAAAAAAAAATTCATTCCCATCTATCAAAATAGTAAATTTGAATAAGTTTTGTATGTCGATTCGAATGCGTCTTTGTTATTTATTATTGCGACTTTTCTTTTATTTTTATTTTTATTTCATTTTGTTTTATTTTTTTTTTTAACAAATTCCCTCAAAAATTTGTACTGCCTTAAAAAAAAATAATCCATATGGATGTTCATATTATTCAAATAGAATATGATAAATATAATAAACACTTCGATCATATCGATCCGCAAAAAGCGCACAATGGAGAACAAATATCTTTAGTATCATCATCTCCTAATGGTAGATATGTCATCACATACAGCTATAATGATAATTCAATTGAAGAATGGGATGTAGAAGATTCTAAACTGGTCCTAAAATTTCGAGAAAATGGTAATTTACTAAAAAACTCAGGATTTATTGATGATATTAAAGTAAATGATAGTGAACTTGTCTGTTATGTACTAGGAAGTGAAATTAAAACCTTTAAAATGCCAAACATCAAAAGTCCAATTAGACTTAATCCTCCGCCCAAAATGCAGCGGCCTAGAATTAATTTCACTAAAAAGGGTAATCTTGCAATATTCGATGATAATAAAATATTGGTTTATTCTAAGGACGGTAAGATGATGTCATCTCATGAACTATTGTCACACAATGAAGTAATAAGAGGCGTGTCTATTGATGAGAATGATAATATATGGGTTATTTCTCCAAATTATTTATTTCATTGGGATTTAGAAAAATTTCGATTGAAATTTAGTTATTCGCTTGGATTTACAGCTGATAGAATCGATAAAGTCAACAATATATTTACAGTAATATCTAAAGGAAATTCGATCGTGATAAAATATAATAATGAAATTGCAATCTTTTCAGAAAGCGTGCATTTTCCAATTCAAAATATTAAATTGAAAGATACCAATATAAGAAAAATAGAATTGTGCAAAATACAAAATAATGATTATCTTTTGGCTTTTAATCTACCTGGAAAATATGAAAAACAGGATGAAAAATACAAAAAACAGAATATATTTTTATATCATATAACTGATATCAATAAACAACCCATAGACGTATCAAAGATTTTCAATAAAGGCCATTATGAGGATAAGTTTTATGAATATAATTCAGTTTTAGAGAAAGCATTTGGATTAGTTAATGGAGAATTTTCATGCATTAATGTAGATTTTGATCAGGAATTTCTTGATAAACATAAGGTATTTTTTGGATCTCATAGGGATGACGACGATTTTGTTGGTTGGAATAATTACTTGTATCAAGGAAGTTATTGCAATGATACTTTGGCTTTTCCTGATATGGTAAATTTAAGACAATTAGTTTTAAATAATTGTAAATATATTGATGAAAATGAAGATATAAACTTCAAAAATCAAAAATATAAATGGAGAATAGATCTGAAAAACAAAAAACTCTCAGTTGTTGCAGAACAAAGAATATTGAACTCAAAAAATTTAGAGGATAACTCATGGAACTCGAAGTGGAACTGGAAAATTCTTAATAATAATGCATTGGCGCTACGATATTATGGAAATTGTACTAGCGACACTGTAATAATATATAATTACGATATCAAGAATAAGAAAATTAAAATTGAATATTATTATTACAAAAAAGGACTCGTGAAGATAAACAAAGAATTTTCTAAATCTATATTGCCGATAACGAGTGAAATTACTGATTTAGATAAAGATATATATATCATTGAAGACGATAGATGTCTTGCAAAATATGGACAAACTTTATTACCGATTTTAATAGAGTCATCTGGTTCAGATTTAACTCGTCGTATGGAAGATATTTATAAAAAATGCATGAAACTTGTTAAAGAAGATCCAAAAAGAAATCTGAAATTTCTGAATATTATAACATCATCTATGAATAAATTATATAAAGGCCATTTTGATTACATAACCAAATTTAATTCTGAAATGTTTATGATTTTAGACCCTTTTAATAAAAGTGTTAAGGATCATTCGCATTTTTATACTTTTAGCCAAGAAATGGCAATTATTGAAACCGGCTATTCAAAATTCCTTAAACCCTTTCAATATTTAATTGATTTAGTGAATACTTTACGGAATTTTTCAATCGAAAGAAAAGCTATACAATATATCACTCTTATTGTACCCTATGTAGATTATTCTCGTTATCCTTTAGAATATAGTTTCTGGAATGAATTATTTTATCCTCCATCGAGTGTTTTTACTGATACTTGTATAAAGGAAGTTTACTCAAATTGGAATGGTGAAGCAATTATTAGATTTAAATGGAATAAATTTGGAAGGGCATATTATATTATTATTTGGTTATTATTTACGATTTTTCTTGTATGTTTTACAATTGCTTCTTATCCTACAAATTCTATAACTAGAGAAATTCGTATTAAGCTTTATCAAACTTCAACTGTATTTGGAGTTTTTCATCTTATACATGAATTAAGGCAGTTTATCCAGAAACCAAATAAATATTTTTTTAGTCGTATGAATTTATTTGGTAAGCGTATTTTTAAATTTATTCTTTAAATTTATTAAACTTGAACTAACTTTTATAAAAACTCAGAGTTAAGCACGTACCTTTCTGCTACTATTGCATCAATTTACTGGATTAAATATGATAATATACCGGACTGGACACTATCAATTTCATGTTTATTATTAGATTTAAAATTTTTACTTTTCTTTAGAGCATTTGAATATTTTAGTATCATTTTTGCAATAATGTTTGGAGTAGCTAAACGTGTATTGCCTTTTTTGTCAGTATTAGCAATTATTGTTGCAAGTTTTGCACATGCTTTTTTTTTACTATTACATCCTCAAAATCTTATAGATTCGTTAAGTGCACAAAATCCAAATGATCCAAATAATCCTTGGACTCTTTCTAATACTTACAATCAAACTGATGAAAATGGAAATATCTTAAACGAATCTCTTATTCAAATTCCTAGTGAAAATACAAATTTATTTTATTCATATCCTACCTCTCTTCTTGCAACATATTTATTTTTAATAGGTAACTACTAACGTTAATTATTATTTATCATAAATGTAAACTTATAACTTGTATAACAAATAATTTTAGGGAATCAAAATTCATTCTCACCTTGGTCACCAAAACCGACAATTGAAAATGCGATATTATTCATTTTGATGACAGTATTTTCATTCATAATTGTTATATATTTAATGAATTTAATTATTGGTTTACTTGGTGACGAGATTAAAAAGAATAATGATGATGCCTTGTATTACGTACAAAAGGCGGAAATTATAGCAGAAATTGAACTTTTTTATTTATTACCTCATCAAAGACGTTGGAGAACTTGGTTTCCTGAAATAATGTAAGTATTTATCTATTTATTTATTTTTAGAATACTTAATAATAATAACTTTTTATGGTTTAGTTATTATAGTGTAAGTGTTGAAAAAGCTCGGAAACACATTAGAGAAGCAATCAACAATGGTGAATGGAAAATGAATGATTGGCCTGAAATGAAGCAAAAAATTTTAAAGCTTCTTAGCATGGATGATACTATTGTTAATCAAGCAGTTTAATTTTTTTTACATTTTACATAATGAAATTAACTAATTGATAGTTTAAAACGTTAATTTTATAAGAAAAAATTTGTTTTTTTTAACATTATTTTAATAAAGTTTCGCGTTTTTTTAATAAAAAAGGTTTTTTAACACTTTAATTAATAATTTAATAAAAAAAAGTTTCTAATTGCCACCCGGGTATTATTAATCAATTTTCGTAGTAATCATGAGGTAATATTAAGAGGTACTGTATGCAGTGGCCACTATGTACACAAATCTTTCGTGGACTGAAATAAAAAAACGAGAAAACTGTGTTTCTATGTCTCAAATTAAAGAAATTTTCAATTTTACAAAAATTTTTTTCTTTATTTACCACTATACTTAAAAAAATACTTTTATTTTATAAATCTCTAATTATATCGCTATTTCTACATCCCTTCAGTTCTATATACCACAAATAAATTAAAGATTGAGTCATCACTAGTGAAAAAATATTTTTTTAAAATATTATCGGTAAAGAATGGTAAAATAGAAATAACGCTAATGATTATAAAAAAATAAAATAATTGAGAGTATATGTAATTATTGATTTCAACTTATTCCTGATATATTTTCACAAGGAATACAGTTTTTACTTTTTGATATTTTTTTAATATAAGATTTATTGCATTTACAAGTGACAAGTTTCAAAAAAACTCCATTTTTAAAACATGCGCTAATATAATCTTGGTTTACACTATTTTTCTCGGTCTCGTAATCTTTTTTTTTTCTTGAAGTTTTAATTTTGAGTACGTGAAAATTAAAATTGGATGATTCAACATATTGTTTCTTTCTCAAATTATAAGAGAATACGTTTGCTTCAATATTATTTTCATTATTTTTTGAAAAATAATGCATTACAACAATAGGTTCATCATTTAATTCTTTTAACACTGGGATTCCTAAGAAAGGGCTTTCCGATTCAAATAAACGGGTATTTTTCAAAACCTCCAACTTCGTTTTATTAAGGTCATTAAAATTATTAGGGTTGAAATGTATATCGTAACCAACAACTATAAACCCAATTTTTAACCGGCGTAAAGTTTGTTTGTTTTTTTGGAAACAATGAATAATAAGTTGTGGCTTTTCATTTTGTGGATAATAAATTTGACAGTTAATGAAATCATTTTTCTTTTCTTCTTCATCAACAACTTCCGCGAAAATACTACAATCGGCTTTTTCATTGTTAATTATTTCACGGAACTTTCCTTCTAATGGTAAATTAACAATTTCTTTTTTTCCATATTCTAAATGACACGTCCGTGATATATAATTACCATAAAGAATTTTTTTTCCAAAGAATTTATATAGTTTTTTACGTAGTCTCTTATTTAAAATTTCAAAAATGCTCTTCGGATTCCGAAATTCTATGCATTCCCACGTATTACGTTCCTCGGTTAAAGTGATATTTGGGCTTGTCTCATAATAATATAAACCGCCCAAAGTAACTTCGGTGGGAATGAATTGCCCAAAATCTTCATAAATCTTATCAAAGTTTTCTGATTTTAGGGCTTTTTCCACCTCTTTAATAAAATTATGTTTCGGTTGGAACTTATCTAATTTCAGAGTTATTTTGGGTACTTTTGTAAATTTTTGTTTTTGAGAAATTGTGTCGTCGTGTAAAGGCAGCCCTACCGGTCCATAATTCGTCATTTTAACCTTACCATCAAAGAACATAGATATTTTGTTAGCCCAGCCTTTCTTTGTTCTAAAGTCACTAAAATCACCGACTTTCTTGTCACCTCCATTATCTAATACTATAATTTCCATTGTACATACTTCTTCTTTCGAAATTTCAATATTAATTTTATTAGGAGTTAAAATACGCCCATACCCAAGTTTAAGTCTGTCTTTAAAATCAGTATAGTCGTCCTTTTTAATTAAATACAAAGTATTGTTATTTTTAATGATATCCCTTAAGCTAAGATCGAATTCTTCATTACGTGTTACTTTTTTTGCGTCTTTTATATCAGAAGAGTCGATAGACCGTGAAAATAATAAATTATCATCCATTTTAATATTTTCATCCTCCTCGAGTTTTTTACGAATTATTTCCAATTTACTCTCAATATTCAATTGTAAAAGCGAAATTCTGTCGTCATCTTCCACTACTTTCACTCTTATTTTTTCGGGAATTAAACATAAAGTATTATTTTTAATGATATTTACTAGGATAAGATCAGATTCTTCGTTACGTGTTACAACGTCAGAATAGTTGATAGACCGTGAAAATGATAATTTATTATCCATTTTAATATTTTCATCCTCCTCGAGTATTTTACGAATTCTTTCCAATTTATCCCCAATATTCAATCGTAAAAGCAAACTTCTGTTGTCATCTCCCACTACTTTCACTCTTATATTTTTTTTGGTAAGATCAGGAATTAAACACAGAGTATTATTTTTAATGATGTCTTTTAAGATAGTATCAGATTCTTCGTCACGTGTTACTTTTTTTGCGTCTTTTATGTCAGAAGAGTCGGTAGACCATAAAAACGATAATTTATCATTCATTCTAATCTTTTCGTCCTCTTCGAGTATTTTACGAATTATTTCCAATTTATCCTCAATATTCAATCGTAAAAGCGAACTTCTGCCGTCCTCTCCCGTTACTTTCACACTAATATTTTTTCCGGTAGACATATTAAGGGTTGTTAGGAAAAAGAAAAAAATATGAACAAACCCTTTTTATTTATGAAAACGATATAAATTCCAAGTACATGTATCACAACACAAAAAGGAAAGAAAAACCAAAAAATGTGCATGCATGCTACACCCTTTTTTTATTTTTTTAATAAACATCGTTAAATTAAATGATGAAATAATTGCCATTTCAAATCATCCTAATAATAAAAAGAAATCTTTTTTTTTTATCACTAAAAAATTGATATGCAGTGTCAATGTTATCGCTAAAAAACCTACTATCATAACCTTTTATTTTTTGATGAAAATGATATAATTTAAGTACATGCATCGAAGTACAAAAGAAAAAAAGGGTCTTTAAATGAGATGGTATATCTATTTTATTCTACCTTTTAATACTTCACATGCTGTATGTATCCTAGAAAAATGTGTAACCAAATGATGGCTAAGAGTACAACATAATGATCTGCATTTCATGCAAATACTACGAGGAAAAAAAAATATATAATAAAAAGTACATACTTTTTCTTTTTGATTAAAAAAAAAAAATTTCTTAAACGAAGCTTTAAAAATGCTTAAGGTTAAAATAGAAAATAAAGAAAATGGCTCGAAATTTCATAAAGATGCTCATTTAGATACTAAATTATCAGATTTTCGCAAAGAACTTGAAGAAACTGATGAGATCAATGACAAATTATCATTTTCACAAAAATTTGATGATGATTTTGCTGTTGAAATATCACGTGTAAATGAAGACGATTTTATGTTGAAAGATTTCATGGAAGAATTCACTGAAGGTTCGAACGAAATAGATATGTTTTTAGTAACAACAACTTACTGGAAGTTTTTGAATAAATTGAACCAATTGGATAGGGGGTGGATGATAACCTCAGAAGGGATCGAAAGAGCGAATAAACAAGCTCTTATATTGCATTCTGCTAAAATAGTAGAAGTTAACGCTGTTAACGCTGAAAAACAAGTTACAGTTTCATATAAATATGAAAAAGATATGAAACGATTTTATATTACCGACAAGAATGTACCAAATTTCGCGGGACGGTCAAAAAAAAACGGCAAAAGTGCTTCACCTTCCAAATATACTGTAAAATATACTGTATATGAAAAAGCACGTTTTGAAATTGATAAATTAAAAGCGAGCGTCGCTTTTATCGAAGAGGTAAAAAACGCCATAGAAGACGGAAAAATAGAAAAATTTGAAAAAATTACTGAAAAATATGGTCAATTCATTCCTACTAAAATTATCCTTGGCGGTCTAATAGAAAATGATGAGAAACAATTGAAGTATTGTAGATATTGGGATTGCATAGAATTTCAAGAACAAAAGAGTGTATTTCACTTTGTTGATGCTGGTTTACGTAAAAAAATATATTCGATTTTTGGAAAAAAAATTCTTTATTCTCTTATAACTATCGAAAAAGATGATAGTGTTAATGATGAAAATATAGATGATAATTATAAAGTGAATAAAATTAAATTACCATCAGAAGTCTCAAACATTATTTCAAACAACGCCGACTGTTCTATCTTTGCAACGGCTGTTGGTATGAATTATTGTTATCATTGTCAAATCCTTACTTCACCTGGTAAGGAACCAGAACTTATGGTTCATTGTCTTGAAGAAAGAAGTGATGACACGGAAATTTTAATTAGATGGATAGTTATCGGTTATGATACATATTTAAAACCCAACATAAAATTTGAATCCATGAAATTAAAAGTCTTGAGAAAGGATTATATGCCGTATGATGAATGTAATCATAAGATGTTTGAATTATTAGATTCATCGGACTATTATTGCGTAGGAATTCCCGTTGTTGATAAAAAGGATTCATTAATTGGACATTGTTTTTCTAACGATTACAAAGAATTAAATACATTTGCTTATTCATTAAGAGAAAAAAGATGTGAGAGGCTACCCAAGTTTAGCTTCAATGTACTTGCCATACCAAAAAAAGATACTACTTTAACAGAACAGATTAAGTTGTTTGAGAAAGATATGAATGACAGTATTATTACCGTTGGAAAGTATTGTGATAATGAATTTAATGAATTAAATTTAAAAAAATTTCCGAAATTTATTAGTATATGTTTAAATAAAAGTGAGCAAATTCTCTTGAAACAACGGTTAGCACAAATTAAAGTTAAGTTCCTTGGTGAAAATTCGCAGCGTGATTTTAAATGTTTATTCTTGATTCCATTTGAAAGGTATTTCTTTTGTACTTCGTAGTTTTTCTTTTATGATTATAATAATGCTTTTTTTATCATTAGTGATGATGATCTTACCACCGAGACTCTTGATACCCTTAAGAATTATTATGTCAATTCACATGGTAAGAGTTAGTTTGTATTATCATCTATCATTAACCAAATTAATTATTTCAACTATTTAGGCAAACTAAATGAAGGTAAGCTTAACCAAGATTTGTCTTAATATTATTATATAATGGCATTAATTTATTTTGCGGAAAAAAAGTACTCTCAAATGTCTCAAGCGGAGGTAAGTAAGCTTAACCAAGATTTGCCTTAATATTATTATATAATGGCATTAATTTATTTTGCGAAAAAAGTACTCTCAAATGTCACAAGCGGAGGTAAGTAAGCTTAACCAAGATTTGCCTTAATATTATTATATAATAGCATTAACTTATTTTTACTTTTAGGGGTTAAATTGATCAAGAAACTTACACCACGCAGGAATAGTAAGGAAACAAATGGGAAACTAGAAACCAAATGAGAAGTAGATGATAGTACGAAGAAGCCAAATGATAGTACGACAAACACTACGACGAACACTACGGCGGAACTACGGCGGAACCAAATGATAGCGGTATGGTTATTTTTATCTATACAGTATAGTAAATTAATCTATACCGCAGATATGAATGAATATTTCTTAATACCATACCATACTCATAATGCAAATTAATGCCGATTTTGGACCACTATAAAAAATGGCGAAATATATATACTCAATGAAAAAATCGCAATTATTTTTATGTTTATTTTTTTTAAACCTTTTTTTTAAACAAAAAATACTTATTATTAAAAAAAAAAATGGAAATAAATAAATATTTTTTCTTTTATATTTATGGTGCTAAGGGAATTTGAAATATCTGTTATTTTTCTGCAAAAATAAAAAAAGCGTATAATCAAATGTAAAAATGAATGTCATGACTAAATTCACTTCTATTGTTCATTTCTTCTGTTAGGAGTTAGTGAAACTTTAAATTTTAAACCGTTGAATTCAAAATATAAGAACTTGTAAACTTGGAATTTTTTTTAACGTTAGGAAAAAAAATAAAATTTCGTATTACAAAAAAAAAAAATCCCTTTAAATAAAAAATAAGACGATGATCAATGAGAAAAACTTTATATATTGGTCAGTAATTACAATTATTTTATTACTGTAAAATAAAAATAATTTTCCAATTATTATTTCAAAACCATCAGCATATTACATCAGAAAGGATATATTACAATTTACAATTCATGTTTTACTTTTTTCCAGATCCAATTTCATTCTTTCATTAGCAAATTCAATAGCTTCTACTTCAGCTTCTGCTTTTCTTAGAGCTACTTCACGTTCCTTCAAATCCATTTTTCTTTCTTCTATTTCAAGTTCTAAGTGTTTATGCCTTTTCTTAACTTCATTGACCGATAATAAATTATATATTTTTTTTTCCTTCTTTCTCGTTTGAGGATTTATATTTTTCATCACTATCATCATCACTAATTACTATCGATTTTGATTTTAGATGATTTAGTGGTAGATCGTACCCTTTTTGATGGAACTTCAGGGCCTTCATTACGTTTTCCTAAAATAAAAATTTAACTTATTGATATAAATTTTAAATGAAGTTTTATACCTTTTCGATTTGTTGCATATGCTTGTCTTTTAATTTGACCTTTTATCCCGTCTTGTATAAGGGACAGATGAGTGATATAAATTTAAAAATTAAAATAATTTTGGTTTTCATTAAATAATATATCATAAAAACCGTAAAATTGCTGATAAAATTTTTAATTGCTTGCCAGTTCGATTTACCAAAGCATGTGCGGCTTCAGCAGTATTTGTATCATTTCCATATCAATTCCAAATTTCCAAATCCATTAACGATGCAGAAGTATTAAGTGATGCTAAGATGTGTGGGTTTCAATTCAATCTAATAATTTCAAAGAATAAAAATAAATAAATTAAAATTGAGTATAAATTATTAAATATTAAATTAATAAAATACCTTTTACTTCATCTTCATCAGATTTTTCAAGTTCCAAGAAAATTTGATTTAATTCCACTTGACTAGTTGTCTTTAATAAAGATTTCATCTTTTTTTTTTAATTGGATCACTAAAACGTTTATTATTTATATTTCTAGTGTTGTATTTAAAAAAATGTTAAAAAATTCAATAAAAGTAAATTGCTTTTTTTAAAAATATCTTACCTTTGAAAATGTATATGACATGATTTAAAAACCTTTGATATATATTCTTCCCATTCACATGTGGTATCTAAATTATGTAATGGCATAGTCCTTTCATCTGCACCATATCAAGGTCACCCAAAATACAACTTCAACCATTATGATGAATGTATTTGAATTGAATGGAATTACTAGTTAATTGCTTAATAATATCAAATAATATTGTGAATGGATGATGGTACTCTGCCTTCTGCTAAAGTTACATTAGTATATATGCAACAGTATAATAAAACTAAATAAAAATAATAAATTAATAAGAGAATTTCTTAATTTATACAGGTGTTCATATACATATCATGTGACTTTATTAAAAAGTTATGAAAAAATTTTTAATTAAAAAGAATATGCAGTATATGTATTTTTGTCTATTCTACAAATTTACTTAAAGTATTAGAGTTGATTTTGAATGATTTATTTAACAAATTCTTTTTTTCCTGTTTTTTTATTAAATTTAATTCTACCCTACATTAAATAATCAGCATAAAAAATTTACTTTTTTGGGAATTAGAGCTTTTATTTAAAAGTTATAATAAGATTCAAATATTCAAAAATTTTTGAAATGTAAATTCAAATATAATTTGAATTTCACATAATATTTGAATTTCAACTGAATATTCAAATCTTCTATTATTTTTTTTTAAAAAAAACAAATTAATAATTTAACAGAAATATCTAAATAAATTAAAAATTAATTAAACATTCAAATGAAAAAAATGTTATCTAATTTTACATGATTTATAAATGAATATTCAAATATTTTAAATTATTTCAAATAAAATATGAACATGTAAAAAGTATTAAAAACAATGCAATTATGGCGTTATTGCTTTTTTGTAGGAGATAACGGGTAAATATTTTCTTTTATCATATATTTGTTTTCATCAAGGATATGAGAAGGGTGAACATTTATTTGTAATAAATTTTGGGCCATCAATTTAACTGTTTCATTTATACGAAGTGGTGGTGGTAGACAACTTTGACAATCTTCTAAATGATTTAAATAACCAAATATACTAATATACAGTCCTTCATGCTTCATAATTCGTGCAAAAGCAAGAACCAACAAACTCACATATTTTTCTTGTTTTTCGTTCTTTTGCTTCTTCTAAGTTAGACTTTTTCGTATTTAAACTCATGTTACTTCCACAGCACCATTGTAAAGCATAAATTCCTTTAGCTTTATCACTATAACGTGTTCTCCATTTATGTTCAGGTAGAATTTTTTCTAATATAAAGTTATTATTGTTGTAAAAAACTATGGCCTTTCTTGCGTTTTATTACTCCATTATAAGTTAACAAAGTTTAAAACTGGTAAACTATTAAGCTGTTCTTTTGGCTTTTGAGTTAATATTAAATGTGAAGGAATTTTTAATGACATTTTGCAAAAAAAAACTAACATGTTTAATGTTTAACGCGTTTAAAAACTGAATAGGGTCAGTGATCGGCTATATAACATGAGGTGGTGGTAAGATTTCCCTAGAAAGAGCTCTTAATATTTTGCTCTTTATAAATGCACACATCTCTTAAGTGTACATTCTGCTAATTTAATTTTAATATTTTTTATTATTCTACAAAATAGTCACTATATTGACTTAAAGACACTTCATGTCTCAATTGTCTCATCAAACGAATTGTACAAACTTAATCTGGTTCAAATCACATTCTTGGCAGTGTTCTCAGCCCCAGCTCAATGACTTGCTAATTCTGATATCACCCGTGGATACCAAAGTTTTATATAGAAAGCAGATTTATTTAAATTTCTTGGTCAATATATGGAAGAAATCATTACCAGAAGTCGCTTTATTCATATAGGTATACTATATGATTCGGCCGACGATACATAAATTTATTTTAAACTAATGCATTTGGGCCATATCATTTTTCGTTCATCTAAACTATCTGTACTAACACACCATCTCTATGATCTGGTTTTGTTTGTCCCAATCATCGGTATAATGAATCAAATAAAAATTATGATGCGAATAAGTATTAAGCCATTTGAATATTGTCAAAAACGGATCGACAGTACTCATAATACAAATAATAATTATTTATTTGCCCAACGGTTGAACTTTAGCATTTCGTTAAGCCTCTTTTAACCATTAATAAAAGAATTCGTAACTCTGACGAAACCTCACTTCTAAATATCGACAAACATTCGACTGGGGCTTGAGGTTGCAACCGTATAAGTTATATTACAAACAGTTATTAGCCACCATCAATTCGGGATCCTAACATTGTTTTCTAATTATATCATTGGGGCTTATTCGATCTAATCCGGATTTGGATCTCTTAAAAGACCGATTTGCGTCGATCGAATCCGGATCTGGATTGATCCGATCAGTATACTGGATACATATCCGGTTTCGGAAGTTACGGATTTGATCCAACTAAAAAAAAATACCAAAAATTTCAAAAATTTTCATGAAAAACAAAAAAATTATAGTAAATCAAAATTTTTTTTACGTGAGCCGTGAGCGAATTGGTGATATCACTATTAAGAATAAAGAAATTGGATTACTTTTACTACTGATTTTTCAAATATGATCGTTCTCTTTGATCAATTTTATCTCTTTTTTTTTTGGTTAAAAAAAAATCAACCCTTAGGTTTGTGGCTTTTCATTATTGAAATGACTGCTAACGAATTAGGGCATAATAATACCAAAAAAACCTTATTATTTGTTATTTGGTGACTATTACTATAATAACCTCACAAAATAATTTCTTTTTACGACTCTCTGAAAATTAATCTTTAATTTGTTTTTTTCCCTTAATGGTTTCCACGTAATTTTGGGTTCAACAAACTACCATTGTATTTTAGATATAAATAATAAACAATATCTGAAATTCACTTGGAAAAGAAAATGGGTGTAACTGTTGATCCAGAGAAAAGGGAAAAAAATGAAAAAAATGATACGATTATTGAGGACGAAGATGATGAAGAAAATTCAATGATTTCTGCGGTACGTATGAATTATAAATTTATTTTGATACTTGTAATTAATATTTTCTTTTTTTTTTAGGCTGTTAGCTCAGAGGATGATCCAACATTATCATGTTTGACATTTAGGTTTTGGGTATTGAGCACGGTGAGTACATGTTTTTCATTATTATCATTGGAGAACTATAATGACCCATAATTTTATATTTAGTTTTTCACATCACTTTGCGCGGCAATATCACAATTCTATCATTTTCGTCCAAATAATGGAGATTTTTCGCCTTTTTTTGTGGTGTTTGTATCTTATGTTGCTGGAAGATGGATGGCAAGAGTATTACCAACACGAAAATTTCAAATTTTGCGATGGAGCTTTAGTCTCAACCCAGGTTTGGTTTAGTTTTATTTTGAGAAATATTTATAATATTCTCAACAATAATGATATTCAATTATTGTTTTTTTACTTTTGTTTGACAGGACCATTCAATATCAAAGAACACGTTTGTATATTTGTAGCGACGGGTGCTGGCGGTGGTTCAGCTTACGCTACGGTATGTATTAAGCGTTTCTTTCTACATGTCAAATCATTAACTAATGAGTATTATATGATAGGATATTATTTCCATACAAGAGCTTTTTTATCATCACTCAATCAATTTTGGTCAAGGGTTTCTTTTGCTTATGAGCACACAGATTATAGGGTATGGTCTCGCGGGATTTCTTAGAAAATGTAAGGTTAGCAGGAATGACCGAAATTTGGAAATACTTGATTTTTTATTTTTATTTGTATTTTATTTTTTTATTTATTTATTTTTTTTAACAAATAGATCTTGTTCATCCACCAAGTATGATTTGGCCGTCCAATCTTGTAATCGCGTCCGTGTATAATACACTTCATGGCAGCAAGTCTGAAGCACGTGACAGACTTCGGATATTCGTTATCGCATTTTTAATCATGTTCGTTTGGCAATTCGTACCACAGTACATGTTCACTTGGTTAACAAGTATGGCTATATTATGCATAATAGCTCCATATAGTAGGATGATGAAGATATTAGGAAGTGGTTATCATGGTGTAGGGATCCTAAATTTTACATTGGATTGGAATGCAATTGGACAACCCGGGCCGTTATATACTCCATGGTTGGTAATAGACAAAAACCATAAATATGAGTTCAAATATTTATCAACTATAAAATATTTTGTTTAGGTGGGCTCAAGTAAATTATTATGTCGGTATAATTATTGGTGTATGGATCGTTGCCCCGCTTTTATATCATTTTAATTTCTTGTAAGAATCAAAATTTTCGTTCGAATTTGTTTACGATCGTTTCGTATATTTAATTGTTTCAACGTAATTGAATAGGGAAGCACAAAGATTTCCATTTACATCCACACTTCCTTTAGACAAATATGGACAAAAGTAAGCGATACGGTTTGATTCCGAACCTTTGAATATCGACATAAAGATTATAAACTAATAAAATTTTTTTTTTATAGATATAATCAGACATTAATTATTGATAAGACAACTGGATTTTTAAATGTTACAGCTTACGATAATTATAGCCCAGTATATTTATCGGCCACCTTTGCTGTTAATTATCTGTACTCTTTCATTTCGATTACCGCAGTCATGAGTCATGTGTTCTTATTTCATGGTAAAGATATTTGGAAAATGTTCAAATCTAGTCGAGAAGAAAAGAGACATGATATTCATTCCAAGTTGATGAGCGTTTATCCAGGTATATTGTTGAAATTTTACGTTAATACAGATGTTGTGGATAATAAATCATTCAAATTTTTAGAAATTCCAAATACTTGGTATTCTACAATATTCTTCATTATGTTATTAATCGCAATCGTACTTGGGTATACGACGGAGGCGAATTTACCGTGGTGGGGATTGCTTATGGCTATAGGATTATCAATAATTATGGTGCTTCCAATTGGTAAAATTTTTCTTTACAAAAGAAATAAATGAATATGAACTATTATTTGAACGATATTTTTTTTAGGTATAATTCAAGCGATCTCAAATAATCAAATTGGGTTGAATGTGTTAGCTGAAATGATTTGTGGTTACGTCCTCCTTGGCCGGCCTATCGCCAATGTATACTTTAAATGTTATGGTTTCGTAACAATGTATCAATGCCTTCTCTTGGTTTCCGATCTTAAACTTGGTAATATAAATTAGTGTTTTAATTGATTCACGCGTATATCGTTAATCAATATCTATTTCTTTATTCAAAGGTCATTATATGAAAATTCCTCCACGTTCTATGTTTATTTCTCAATTATATGGTACAGTTGTCGGAGGTTTTATGAATTATTGGGTTTTAAGACTTATTATTTCTTCAAAACGACAATTTCTTGATGGTACAATGGAAGATCCAACCGGTCAAGTAAGTTTAAAATATTTCATGTTTTTTTTTTTAACTTGAAATTAACAAGTCGCACCTTTTGAAAAATAATAGGTATCAGGGTATCATACACAAGTTTTCAATACAGCTTCAATAGTGTGGGGTTTGATTGGACCTGCAAGAACATTTGGTGTAAGAAAATCTAATTATTTTTAATGTCATTTCTTGTACAATTAAATGTTCTAATTAGATCTTTTTTAATATAGCCGAATTCCCTATATCACCCGCTTCTTTGGGGTTTTTTAATTGGAGTCTTTGTGCCAATTCCATTTTATCTATTACATCGAAAATATCCGAAATATAGATTTGATTTAGTGAATGTACCTTTAATTTGTAATGGATTACAATTAATTCCTGAATCTTATACAAATTTTATTATTATGGGATTCTTAGCAAGTTTTGCAAGTCAATTCTATGCTTATAGATACAAGAATAAGTGAGTTATATAAATTGTAATTATATTTAAAGTTTTTGATTTTCTAATAATACATTTCTTTTTTTTTTTAATATATTATAGATTATGGAAAAAGTAAGAAAAGCTTATTCATTTATTATAATCGTTGATTTGATCGAACATTTTCACATTTAATACTTGGTTTTTTTTTAGATACAATTATGTGATTTCTGCATCGTTCGATAGTGCATCTCAAATGGTCAGTCTGTTTATATTCATATTTTTTAACGGGATTATCCAGGTAAAAACATAATTTGATGTATCAACTGATAGGTTTATTTTTAACGTTACTGATATATACTCATAATTTAAGATTAAATTCCCGGAATGGTGGGGAAATAACCGAGAATCTCAGGGAGAAAGATGTTTTGCTGCAGATTAATAATATTTATTCATTAGGGGGGTTTTTTTTTTAAAAAAAAGGACATTGAGAGTTTAAAGGCGTGACATGGATCTAAAAGCTCGATTTTATTTATTTTATTTGCAATCTTTATTATATATCATATGTAAGAATAAACAATTTACAGAACAGGATTTATATAAATAAAACACTATAATAATTATTTAATTTATTTATTTTTAATATAATAACTTCTCCAATGTTTAAATTTTATAAAATCAACAATAATGAAGGGAAAAGATATTAGCTGGTAGTCGGTGTTCTCATGTCTTTTATGTTAGTATATTTAATCGCAGTATATCTGTATACCTAAGAAAACCGTATTGTATTAAAAAGTGGTCTCTTGAATACTTTTATAGCTATTGTATGATTACTTTTTCGTTGATTGTAATTATTTGCATTCCAGTTTTTTTTTATTCCAAATTCTTTAATTTACAAGAATATTATGCTTTATTAGGTGATAAAACTATTTTCAATGAGTTCATCTATGCCAATAAGAGTATTCCCACGAAATTTGGCCCAACAAGAGATACTTTCCGGATTCAGGGATATTCCCAAAGTAGGTATATTAATAATTTTCTCACTTTCACGTAAAATATTGTCCGAGAAAACAATATATGACTTTTCAATAACTACCGGAATACTAAATCTAGCAATGGGAGGTACACTTTTTTTATATCTTTCAATTATATCTTTATATGTAGCATGAATTGCTTCCATTTTCATTTCAATTATATCATAAATGTCTTTATTGCATAATCTTCTTATATAATATTGTGGTTGTAAGGGAATTGAATTGTTGTTGTCTTTCAATGTTTCTTTCTTATTTTCCTGTGAAACAAAATTTATACCAACAAAAATCTTTTATCCCATAATACAACTTGACCATTCTGAATTATTACAATATTCTTTGTTTCTTCTTTAGATGTACATGGTTGTCTACAAAATGTCATGTCCATAAGGTATGCCCGAAACGTGATTAACTTTTTTTTCATAACATAATAAAACATTATTCAATGTAATATTGTTGTATCTTGAAGTCTTGTTATGTGAAAGGAGAATTTGAGATGTTTTAGAAGATAAAGTGGAAAAAGACAATATATGATCATAAAATCTCAATACGGATTCTAATCTTGGAGGTTGTTCCAAACATTTAACAAATGTTATTATTTTACTTATTATTCTTGTAGCTAAATGTTTCTGTAATATCCAATGAAAAGATGGAATTGAATCAGGTAAATTTAATGTACAAATTCCATTATTTTTATCAAATTTAACCCTTGAATGATTTATGATTTCATTCACTGTGATATAAAAAAAAGTTATTTAATTAAATAAGATAAATCTTGTTTATGCATATTTTTTTCCAAATACCTTTTGAATTTACACAATTTTTATGATATTCCATGTGGCTCATAAACCTTGATAATCCTTCTGTAGTTAAAGGTTCATATTCCTCTTTTCCTTCAACATGATATCTTTTATTAAATTTATCTAATGAAAATCTTATAACATTTCTTTTATGATCCATTGATTGATTTGAAGGGTCTTTAACCCAAGGAATATTAATACAAGTTTCTTTCAATCTATCCTGATAAGTATATATTTATCAATTAAAAAGAAACAGAAAAAATACAAACTTTTGATGAGTAATACCTTTGTTACAAATAATAATGGTCTAACAGTTTGTAATCCAATAGCTTCAATATTTCTTATAACAGGAAATTTACTTATAATAGACATTGAAGCCAATTAAAGTTTCTAATTGATCACTTAAATGATATCCTACAAATAATGATAAAATTTTATACTCATTACATCCTTTTGTTAATAATTTATATTTTTCAATTCTAGCAAATGTTTCATACTATGATTGTGTAGGAAATGGAGAATTAGAATTATTAATTGTTAAATCTGAAAGGTCAACTTTTTTTCATTGAATTTTCATTATTTGATTATTAATCTCTAAATAAAAAAAATGTATTATTAATTTTATTAATATAAACTAGTATTTAATTTTAAAAGTTTACCTAATGTAAATAAAATATTAGAAACTTGAAATGCTTTTTTTGTGCTCTCTTCTCTTAATTGATAATCTATAATAAAAGCAGTAATCTGATTTCCTGATATTGATTTAATAAATAACATAACATCATACTATCTACTCCTTCTGACACTGCAATTCCTATTAAAATTGAGAGACATTCATTTCATTAAATAAGAAATTGAATGAAAAAAAAAAATTCTATATATATATACCTATTTTTTCTTTATACTTTAAATTTACTTTACTTATGAATTCTGAAAATTCTTTCATGAAAATTAGTAATCTTAAAGTCATTTTTTTTAAAGTGAAAAAGTAAGTTACAATAAGAAAAAATATAGAAAGGTTATTTTTTGATCTGGACTAATATTATTATTTATAAAAATAATAATTTATTAAACTTGTAATAATAAATTTGTTTTAAATGAATCAGATATTTTTTTTAAAAAAAACTTCCTATTTAACATTCTATGTATGAAGAAATTATAATAAGAGGTCAGTTAATAAAACATTGTAATTTTGTAAAAATGATAATTTTGAAATTTATAATATTTAGATTATCATATTTATGTATGATTGGTGATTTGATCATCTTTATATACAAAGTGAATTCAAACAATTTAGCATCTGCAATCATAAAAATTTCTTCTTTTGAAAGGTTTCATCAATTCCTTACATAAATTGTACTTCACATAATATAAAATAAGATGTATAATAAAAATGATTTTATTAATTTAATTGATTTTCAGAAAATTTAAAATTAATATATATTATAATAAAATGCTTAAAATTTTATTACAAATATATATTACATAATAAAGGCTAGTAAAATGCTTAATGTTTCAAACCATTTTTAAAACATTTTAAAAATGTTAAAATTGTTTTATTCACAACTAATGAGTCACACATTTATTATTGAATTAATGACATATCAAGTAAGTTTATTTTATTAGTTACTTTATTTGCCGTATTTTGCTGTATTTAATAGTATCTTTCTTAAAACTGTTCAATTGGCTGGAAAATTTAAAAGAAAAATGGCAGAAAAATCTAATTTCAAAATTCATAATACCATTCAGATAAGAAGAGAAACTGTAGAGAAAGTACAAAAAAAATGCTTGAACAAATTCAAAAAACATATTTTATATAAAATGAAACAAAAATCATATTCTTGGATCTAAAGGGAAAAACAGTATTCTTACACAAATTTTGTCTGATACTGATTCTTACTATTTGGAATACCTGGACTCTTCTTTAAACCCAAACTTTCAACCTTTAAGAAAATGAAATTATTTGAAGAAAAGTTTAAATCATTTAGCGAAAAGTTTGATCATCATTCAGCCAAATCAGGATTTGAAACCAGCAACTGTAAATTTATAAATATACTAAAGAGAAATTTCAAAAAGAAAAGGAATGGTAGTAAGATTCATGATGGGTGCATCAGTTCATTGTCCAAAACAAATGAACAAAAAATGTGCACAATCGAAAGTACAAAAATGGAAATATTACAATTGGGAAGAAATTATCAAAATGTCCTAAGAAAAACTGAATAACTGCAAATACAGTTTGGGGAATTGCTTAATGTCAGTTCCATTTGAGGCTATGATTGGACAGATGAAATTCCATCAAAATCCTGTAGATTTGTACACACTTACCCTCTCTCTACCCAAGAAGAATCGAAAGGAATTGAGTGTCAAGGAACCATGTGACAACTGTCAGCATGTGATGGATCAAATTACATCTCTTCAGATAGCAACAATTCACTTACCTTAGTTGATACATTCAAGGATCTCAAATTGCAACCATTATCATATGAAGAACTTCAATGTATGTATGTATGTAAAAATGCTATAACATGTGTATTAATTGTTGGTATTTTTTTACTTAGTTTTTGTATCATTTTAATGCCAAACCACTTATTTCGCTACGTATATGTAAATAATAATTCATAAAATATTAAAATTGTGTCTGCAGGAACATTTATTGAATGATGTCACGAGTTCTATGGGAAACAAAATGATTGTACTTTAAATTCCGGCAAAATCCGGAATTTTTATCACAAAATCAGGTTTTTTACACCTATTGCCGTTTTTTTAAAAGGTTGAAAGTCACAATTGATATTTCAGCATTAACCAAAAATGCAAAATTGCTTGTCACATTAGCTATAGTAGCTATTCGAAGAATAATGGAACAAAGTATACATCCTGATTCAAATATTTATAAATTTCCTATTCATCCTTTTAAACGTTTTAATAAGAAATGTGTTGAATTTAAACAACCTGTTGAAATTACGTGTTTTAGTTACGATGAAAATCGTCAATTACATATGGATGATAGAGAGTCGGTAAGTTGTAACCAATTTTCATTGTTATTATTGTTATTGTAGAAAAAATCAGAATCGCTGATGATTTTGTTTATCTTTTTTTATAGAGGTATTATTATCCTCCCAATTTGGAAGATTGTAATCTATCAGTTGGATATGAAAATTTAATACAAAAATCTGAAGGGCCTGAGCCAATTCATTCTTTATTGGACGCTTTGATTCATTTAAACGAAACTAAGGGCGATGAAGTCAAAGCTGATATTGTAAGTTTACATGAATCTGTAATCTTTTTCTTGATTTCTATGAGTCCAGGAACAATTCTTTATTTTTAGTCTAAATTCTGTTTTTATTTAGGTTTCTTGGAGAGGAATTTTCACGAAGTTGTTGTGTACTCCATATAATAGAAACGAATCTTGGGAATTTGGAGCTACATTATATAATGTTAGCATAGTTGCACTTAATTATTTAATTATCCTTTATGTATTTTTGTATATATATTTTTTCTTGCATATTTAATTTTATTATTTTATTTTTTATGTTTAAATTCTAGAATACAATGTAAGTTACATTATTATTTATCTTGTTTAAAAAAAGATAAATTTTTTCGATAATCTTTTTATTTTTATCAAACCTACAGTTTCATTGAAGAGCATGAAACAGAACAAACACGACTATATCGTGAAGGAAGTACACCAAAAGCTAAATTAATGGGATATTGGGGATATAAATTTGAGGCATTATGTACAATTGGTGTACCTGCGACTGAAATACAATCTCCCGATGATCCCGAATTATTAGCTCGTAAAAATACGATAGTTAACACGAATATTCAATATTGTTCTGTGTCTAAAACATCTTTGGGAAAAAATAGATTGATTATGGGAGCAGAAGTTGATTGTCTTATAGACGTTAAACCGCCATATCCTGAGAATCCGATTAATAGATATATTGAATTAAAAACTACTAAAATTCTCAAAAACGAAAGAGATAATTTTTTATTTGAAAGGTATGGATATTTGATTAATTCTTTAAATTAAAAAATTAATTTAACATTAGTTCATTAATATTTAGATATAAGTTGATTAAATTTTGGGCACAATCATTTCTTATTGGATTACCAAAAATCATTGTTGGTTTTAGAGATGATGATGGAAATTTGTGTAGTTTAAAAGAAATTAAAACTTTGGAGATACCGAGAATGGTTAGAGGAAAAGATAAAATGTGGGATGCAGTTATATGTTTAAATTTCTTAAATGAATTTTTTGAATGGTTAAGAAGAGTGATTGATATTGAGGATGCGAATTCTTCATATGTTATATCATTTAAAGAACCATATCAAGAAATTGAAGTCACATTTTGTCATAATAAAAATCCTGTATTGGCAGATAGACATTTAAAATCATTTGGTAAAAAGTAAAAAAAAAGATTATTTGATTGGTCTAAATACTTTATACCGTTCACAAATAAGATATATGATGGCGCTGAAATGTTGCAAATAGGTTATATTTAGGATATATAATTATTGAACGCTTCCAAAACTAATTTAAATTTTCACTCCACACATATATATAAATTTTAAGCATTTCTGATAGATGTAGTAATTATTATAGTCGGCTTTATCGTAATAAAGGTAATCATTGAACTCCAATGAATATTTTAATAAATATAAATTAAACTAATGTACACTTTATTATTTAATATTGATATATTTTGTGTTTTTTTTTAATTCTAGAAAACAATAAATAATTAAACTATCTAAAGTGTAATTAATTTAAAAATATATGTATATTTTAAAAATGCTATAATACAAAATAATACAAAAACAAAAGAGGAAAAAAAATATCAAATAAATAAATAACTCTATTTATGAAAAAAAATATGTATAAACAAAATATTTTGATGTGAACATGACGATGATTATGAGCCACTGAAAAATGAAGTTAAAGACATTGTACTCATTCGTTTTTCTTGTTTACTCTTTGGAGCATTACCAGGTGACATCGGTCTAGCTACTTCATTATTACTATAACCATTTATTAACATTCTCAATCCGTTCAATTGTGCACTCATAGTTTCTCTTGATTCTTCACTCTCCGCCAAACGTAATTTAACATCTGCTACCATATGTTCTAATTCATCCACTCTTTTAGCAGAAAAACATTCTCCATTACATTGTGGTATTATATCAAATTCATCTAAATCATCTGATAATTCGTATTCATTTCCAGCATTAATTGACGGTAAATCTTCGGCATCCATTGTGAAATTTGACGTGGATTTTGTTGTCCCGCTTTCTCTTCTAATAATATTATGTACAGGCGACGAAGATCCATCTGATGTATTTCCGTTAAAGAAATTCATAAATGAACTTCTTCTACTTTTATTACTACCATTATCATCTTGTGCTATATCACTATTATCATAAATTACATCATCTTCATTTAAAGCAGCATCCCTTTCTGGTCCTTCCAGCATTTCAACTTTGGCTTTTAATATTCCCATCTCTTTTTTTAATTTTCCATTTTGCAATCTCAAAATTTTTACTTCTTTAATTTGTGGTTCCATTACGCTTTGTTCATAAACTGCTTGTGTCACTTCTTCATCCAACCTTTCAATCTCTTTTCTCAAGAAGATATTCTTTTCTTGTAATGCTTCATTCGCAAGTTTTGAATTTTTCAATGAAATTTCCGATTCAGCAATTATCTTGTGTAAAACATCGTTCTCCTGCATCAGTTCAAATTTTTCCATTTTAACTTGTATTAATTCATCAGTTATTGCTGTTTCGCTTGGTATTGTAATTTTATTTTGTTCGTTAAAATCAATTTCTCCGAATTCTGAAGCGGGCGTAGATATAGACGTTGACTGTGACGTATTAGTAGTCGGTTGTGATATTATAGATGATGAAGACGTTGAATATAGTCTTGACATTGACATAAAACTTGTTGCCGAGCCACGACGTGGTTTATTCAATACATCTGAATCTGATGTTCTTCTCTTATGAATATTATTTGTATTAACTTCTGTTGAAGGTCTCGGTGTTATATTAAGATCTTCAGGTGATTGATTTGGACCACTCGTTGATATAAATGATGAACCTGAAGTCCTTCTAGACAATATTGCCCCTTCTTCACCATATTCATTAGAATTAAGTGAAATCAGAGATGAAGACATTCGTTTATTTTCTTTCTCGAGACCACGAACATTTTTCTTTAATCCTTCCAACTCTGTAACTAAATCCATTTTTTCCATTTTCACAATAACTAATTGTTCGGTTACATCTGCATGTTCCTTTTGAAGTTGAGATAACGCTAGAGCTAAATCTTCAATTTGTTGATGTAGTAATCCAGAATTTATAGTCTTTTGCGAAAATGAAGATGTTGAAGTATTCTCATTATCATGAGTCGAAGAGTCACTGGATATACTATTTAATGAAGAAACTGAAGAAACAGATTGTCTTGAATTTGGAAGTGCATTAAATGACCAACGTTTTGGTTTATCACGTTTCTCATTTTGTTTAGCATCCTTATTTTTCTCGTTCTGAGATTTGTCAAATCTTCCATTGAACCGTATTGCCACCAATTTTTCAGCACGTTTCTTTTGATCTTCTAACTCTTTAACATAATTTGTGTTCAATTGATCTAATTTAGCTTTAGTAATCACATTACTTAAACCCATAGCATCGTTAATTAATCCAGTCGGTTCATTATCATACGCATCATAAAGTTGTGAAGTAAGAAACTCCAATAAATCTTCAAATTCATCAATTTCAAGTAAACTTGCTTCATTCTTTTTTAACAATGCAATCGCTACACGCATAATTGTTTCAGGAGCTCCTTCTGCAAATACTACATCGTAAATTCGAAGAACTAAAGGTAATGGATATGTATAAGCGAATAATGATAAAAACCATTGTGAAGCAAACATCGCCGCATGTATAGCATGAAGTTGAAAATGTGCATGAAGCTTTGGAAGAATTTGTGAGAGAAGTGCTGAAAACTGATAAAGTCGAAGTTGAAGGCCCTCCATATTTAGTGTAAACATCGTTCGCATATCATAGGTTTCCATCAATCTATTAAAACAAATGAATTAGAATATTAAATTAATTTGACAAAAAAAAAAAAAAATACGTGAAATTAATTTTTACCGAACAAATACACAAAATGCCTGTGCTTCATTCATCTAATAAGGAAACGAAATAAAATAATTTAGATAAAATTGAAATTTTTTTTTTTTTTTTTTTTTAATAACTTACGTTCATTAAAAGAGGTCCAACCAAGAACCCAAGACCTTGACAATATCCCACTAATGAATCATATAAACTGTATGCTTTCAATACATTCCATAACATTGTTTGACCTTTACCATTTTCTTCTTTAAACATTTCAATATGAGGAAATGTTCTTGCGAGATCACGTTGAATGATTCTATCATATGGTGAAGATTCGGACAATAATTGAGAATACATTGTTTCTAAATAAGTAGAAGAAGCTTGACACATCGATTGCCAAACTAAACCTCTCAATTTTGGCGGTAGACCTTGTTGTAATTTTGCTGAAAGAAGATGAGGTAATTTCGTGGCTACCGATGAATAATCTTGAATCAAAGCAGACCAGAAATCCCAATCAATAGTTTTTGAAGCTTCGTCATCATCTTTTTCTTCAAGGATTGGAACTAAATCAGACATATCATTTTCACTTGTGGGACTTGTGTTAATATCATCAATAAGTGATTGTACGGTTTCAAAATTAGCTTTGAGTACATTAGATTGAATGCAAACTGATTTTGGATCATTATCCAAAATATTGTTTTGACGTTCAAGACGCGCAAGTAAAAATTCAGTAGAGTCCTAACAATTGTTATATGTTAGTTAAATTATAAATTGTAATGACGTCACCATCACTTGAATTGTTGAACAATTGTGTAACTACAAACCTGTGGTGGCAACTGAGAATTTTCTTGTTCCAGTCTCGCGAGTAAATCTTTATCAAGTTGACCCTTAGGAAAAGCTCCCAATGCACTTTTTGTCTTTGTAACATAATCTCTTGCTATTTTCCATTTCAAAGTAGAATTCGCAATAGTGTTAACAGGAGGAAGTGGTTGAGATGAATCATGAGCATTAGATGATGACGTAGAATTTACAGACTCTGAACGACGTAATTCAATAATTTTCGGTGATATTAAAGGAGCATCATTAACTGTTGCCCCTGATGCTCCTGATGTTAAAGTTTGCTTCTTCGTAGGGGGGTCTTGTAAATTTGGAACACCTGGTGTTCTATTCAATGAATTTTGTGAAATTTCTGAGTTATTATAATTAAATAAATCACCCGGATTAGCTTGAGTTGGAGTCTCAACATTATCTTGATTATCGTTATTAGGTGCAATTTTTGTAGAAATAGAAAGTGCACCAGAATAATTTTGGTTCAAACTATCCTGCTTAATACTAGCTATTTCTTTCTGTGCACTATTATTATTTTCACTATTTTCAGTAGCTTGAGGTGCGGTTTCCACAGTCTCTTTGCCCTCAGAAATAAGTGTCGTAGAGATGGAGGAATTTATTTCCATGTTTTTTTGAGAACTTTAATAGTGAAACTATGCTAACAGAAAGTTTATGTAAATTTTCCAACCGGGGAGAATTTATTGATTTTATTTGACTATTTTTTTTTAATAACTTTTATGTCATAAATTATAATCAAAAATTTTTTTAACTAGAGGAAAAATTGAAATGAAGGGAAATTAAGAAAACTTATTGTACAGTGAATAAAATTAATTATTAAAACAAAACAAAAAGAGATCAATTCTCGAGCATTTGATTGGATCAGTTATTAGACTCTTTTCTTTTCGTTAAAATTTCGATGAGACACAAAGAGAACAAGAGAGAGTAATGAGGTTTATAAATAACAAATAATAATAAATTTTTTTACGTTACTTTGCCGAATTATTTATCAACGGGATTGTGATACCAAAACATAGTTGCCTATTTTTATGTAATGTAACTAATGTAACATAAAAAGATAAAAACACGAGAAAACATGTTACAGATTTACTCATAAATATTTTACTAATCAGGGGGGGGGTCAGATAAAAAAAATACTTTTGTTATGCATATGACGCATTCACAAACTATTTGTACAAAATTTTTGAGCATAAATTAAATTAATCAATATCTGGCATAGTAAAAAAAAAACGGGAAAGAATTTCTTAACAATAAAAAAAAACCCCTTTGTACTTCAATTCCACTTTCATTCATGAATAAATTATGATGATTTATTTCAATAAAATTATTGTAATACATTTTGTTATTTTTAGGAAATTAGTTATATAATTAAAGTTATATTTAATTATAAACGGTTGGGCTGAAGTCCCGATTAGTTGTCAAAATAAATTAAATATTAATTGATTTAAATTTTAGCTTTGACAAATAAAGAAATATGCTATTAGGAAAACGTTTTCTCGTGGGTGGGCTGACATTAATGCGTAGAAAAGTTGTGTTACATCAATTTTATTTAATAAGTTAGATTGCTGTAGAAAGAAACCTTTTTATAATGAAAAAAAAAAAATTACAAACTTCTCCTGCATATTTCAAATCGAGTCGGACAAAGTTGATTTGTTTCATCAATGGATCAAAAACATTTCTTAATAATAAAAGAAACGCGATATTTATAGTATTTGTCCCGACTACCGAGTATACGAAAAATATGAAAAAATAATAAAAATAATAAAATTTTGCAGTCTGAGAGTATCAACAAACAAATACATGTAAATTACGCGAAAATGCACTTTTATTGAAAGATGAGACTGCATTGCGTACATAAGAATTTAAAACGTTTAGAAAAAACTTTAAAATGATAAGAGATCCGTGAATTTTCTTTTTTTCAATCATATAATGTTCATCGAACATATTTTTTATTGATTTTCTTGACAAAATGAGGGTATATACAGTAAATAAAAACTCGTGAAATTGTATTAATTCTAGCCAAAATTTTCTTAATTTTGTCCTATTTAATGTCTATGAAACTTTATAAATTTTATATTAACTATCAGGAATTCAACACAAGGCGCAGTACATTTTTACATAACTTGGTGACATGCCAGGATAAATTCGTAATACTTTGCACATTACGCTTTTTTTCCATTTTCCCTTTTATGGTACAGTACAATATCACAAGTATCTAAAAATAAAATGGGATTAAAGATCAATTTTTATTACTTTCAGTCATAAGATATTATTTCTTTTGCTTTAAAAAAAAAAATAATAATAATGAGTTCAGCGAAACTATTTGATCGTTTATCAATGGATTTATTGAAAATTCTTGAAAATTCGCAAAATTATGATGTAATTATAAAAATTGGTGGGGAATATCCCGACTCTACTTCCTCTTACATGTTCTCAAAAAAGAAAAATAAAAATGAAGAAATATCTTATAATTGCTTCCATGAAAATGATTGTTGTAAAATGGAGGAATTTTATGTTCATTCATTGTTATTATCGGCTCGTTCACCTTATTTTCGTGCAGCGTTATCAAATGAATGGGCTAAAAAAGATGAAAAAGGTATTATAGTCTTGAAAAAACCAAACATTTCTCCAAAGGTTTTTAAAGTAATTCTAAAGTAAGTTTTATTTGATTTGATTATTAAATGATCTCATTTTGATTTTTTTTTTTCATGAAATAATCTTCCTTTTTTGTACGCTTATATATTAAGATACATTTATACAGGTGTGATAGATTTTAAAAATCAAGGAATGACTGATATACTCGAATTGTTAGTAGCATCAGACGAATTAATTTTAGATGAGTTAATTGAATACGCACAAGAATATATGATACAAAATCGACAAACATGGCTTCAACAAAACATTGTACAAGTACTTCACACAATTTTTAGACATGAAACTTGTAGTAAATTACAAGATTATTGTATGGAAATTATTTCTAATGATCCTAAATTTTTATTTGAATCTGAAGATTATCTTTCTCTAGATACTCACGTTTTAGTTTCTTTGTTAGAAAGAGATGATTTAGAGATGGATGAAATAGCGGTCTGGGATCACTTATTGAGATGGGGCATAGCAAAGACACCTTCTTTGCCATCATATCATGAAGTGGAGAACTGGCCAAAAGAACATTTCAAACGATTAGAAGAAACGTTAAATCCATGTATACCATTAATTAGATTTTTTCACATTTCTTCAGATGATTATTATAAAAAAGTTTATCCTTTTAAGAAAATTTTACCTAAATCATTAAAGAAAGATATTTATGGATATTTCTTATCACAAGGATATAATCCAAAATCTGTCATTTTACCACCAAGAATTTCCCCGATTGATTCTATTATTATAACTAATAAACATGCCTCTCTAATAGAATGTTGGATACAAAAGAAATCTGATGATAATTTTGGCAATAACGGCAACAATAACAGCAACAACGCCAATATTAGCAACAGAAACAATTCATTAATTAATTATACAAAACGTTTAGAATTCAATTGGAGTTTATTATACAGGGCATCCAGAGATGGATATTCTTCAAGTGATTTTCATTTAAAATGCGATAACAGAGGAGCATGTGTGGTAGTGATAAAGATTAGAGGGCATGATCAAATTATTGGAGGATTCAACCCGATTGGATGGTATACATCCAGATATGAATATTATTCAACATCTGACTCATTTATATTTTCAATAAATTTAAATAATTCACATCATCAAAATGCTTTGAATCAAGAAAATATTAAATTATGTAGAGTCAAAGACGCAAGTAGAGCAATTTATCAAGATCCAACAAGAGGTCCAACTTTTGGATATCCTGATTTAAGTATTAGCGATAATTGTAATGAAAATTCTAGATCTAATTTTGAACCCAAGTTTCATTATTTAAGAAATGATATTAATCCTATACCAGGATTTTATGTTGATGATTACGAAATATTTCAGGTATTCAAATAAATAATATTTTTTTTTTTTTTTTTTTTTTTTTTTACACTTGGCAAATAAATTCCCATTTTCTTTAATGATTGGAATTAAAAATTGGGGTATTTTACTATTCTAAATCTGTTGCATAATGTNTTTTTTTTTTTTTTTTTTTTTTTGAAATTAAAAATTAATTATTAATTTATTTTTTTATATTTAAGATAAATAAATTGAAAAGAGATCCTTCGACAATGCTTAAAAATTATCAGCACCAGACGCCTTCCAAGCACTCAATATCAATTCAACGACCTGCGGAATTCCAACGCCGTTCTTCACTTGAGTAAATATTGTCGGTCCACTCTCCCTATAAATGAAAAATATTAGCAAATACATTGGATTATATAAGAATAAGTAGATAATATACCTCATTTTACGAGCATCCCTGTCCATGACTCCCAAATCTGCCCCAACAATTTCAGCTAAATCAGTTTTATTAATGATTAAAAGATCTGATTGTGTAATGCCTGGACCTCCTTTCCTTGGAATTTTATCACCACCCGCTACATCAATAACTATGTAAAATAATATTTAGGATAGCTTAGCTATAAGTTAATTAATTTATGATGATGAAATGGTATAGTCTTACCATAGATAATATAATCCGCTAATTCTCGAGAATAATTGGCTATATAGAGAATACATTAACGTAATTTCATTGGTTGGTCAATTATTTATATAAATAAATCATTTTTAGAGCATCTTGTCAATGCTTACCAGCTAAATTATCGCCACCACTTTCAACAAGTAATATTTGAGAATTAAATTTAGCATGCAATTCTTCGAGAGCACCCAAATTAGCAGATATATCTTCTCTGATAGCAGCGTGTGGACATCCACCAGTTTCTATTGCACGAATACGTTCTGCTGGCAAAGCATTATTACGAACTAAGAATTCTGTATCTTCTTTGGTGAAAATATCGTTTGTTACGGCTGCAATAGAGTATTGATCCCTTAAAGCTTTGCATAATGCCAACATTAATGCTGTTTTCCCAGATCCAACAGGACTTAATAAAATTAAAAAATGTTAATTTAATCAAATAAAAAAAGAAATAATATACTTCCTTTTTTATTACATACCCTCCAATTCCGACAGTAAAAGCTCTTTCTTTCCAATTACGTTTTTCGTATTTTGGTGGCTCTCTTTCGGTATATTTACCGGGATTATCTAATTGTTCATGAGTGTGCCCATGTTCTCCTACACCATGATCATGCCCATGTCCATGAACACTTCCTGTTGCCGAAGAAGACATATGATCTTCAAATTGGCAAACCTCTTTTTGTTGAGTAGACATGTTTTTTTAAAAAAAAATGAAAGAAAAAATACAAATATGAATTTTCAAACAAATAGTATTTAAAAAAAAAAATTCTCGATAAAAAATTTATTATTATATATAATAATCTTGTAATCTAATAAGATCTTTAGATCTCTATAAGGGAAAGCATTGATTTCCGGTTTCTAAGTTGCATTAATGTTTATCAACAATTGAATTTTGTTGATCCTCAACAGGCATACAATTTACAATGTAAATCAAGATCATTCTAAATGAATAAAATTCCCAAGGTAATAACAAAATTGGTATTATCTTCACCTTATCAATGTAGTACACATGTGAGTTGCTCAATCGTTCCGAAATTTATCTTTAATAACTAGTTAGATAAACCCGGTCTTTTCTTTTTGTGCCGATTTTTTGTGGGGCGATAATAGATTAGTACCCCCAATAAATTTTTTTATAAATCTTGGAAATAGGGAAAAAAAATTTTTTTAACTTCATTAGCCCTCTGAATTTTTATCTTATTTATTTTTCTAATTCTTTTACACTTTTTTCAAACGAAAACTTGCAATAATGAGGTTAGTACCGAGAGAATTAGATAAACTTATTCTTCATCAAGTCGGTTATTTGGCTCAAAAACGGTTGGCCCGCGGAGTTAAATTAAACCATACTGAAGCCGCAGCTTTAATTGCTTCACAATTAATTGAAATGATGAGAGATGGTACAAATACTGTTGCAGATTTAATGGATATGGGGAAAAAAATGTTGGGAAAACGTCATGTTCAACCTGATGTTTTAGGAACCTTAGTTGAAGTACAGGTCGAAGGAACTTTCCCTGATGGATCTTATCTTGTTACTGTGCATGACCCAATTTCTTCTGATGATGGAAATTTAGAATTGGCTCTTTATGGAAGTTTCTTGCCGATTCCCAATAACTCTAAATTTTCTTTACCAACTGAAACTGAAGATGCACCTGGTGCTCTTGCTGTTAAGCCTGGTAAAATTATTTTGAATGAAAACAGATTAAGAGCATCACTTAAAGTTACTAATTCTGGAGACAGACCTATACAGGTAAGCATTTTTCATGTGATCGGTGATATCATGAATATTGTAACCAATAGGAAATAAATCCGTAATTTTCCATAATTTATAATTTTAGATTGGATCTCATTACCATTTTATCGAAACAAATCCAGCACTTAGTTTCGATAGAAAATTATCTTATGGTAAAAGACTTGATATTCCAGCTGGTTCTGCAGTACGTTTTGAACCGGGTGAAACTAAAACAGTTACACTTGTTGAAATTGGTGGAAAAAAACGTATCACTGGAGGAAATAATCTTGCTTCTGGAACTGTTGATATTTCAAAAGTCAGCGAAATTGTTGAAAATCTTACGGCTCAACATTTTAAACATGATCCATTAGCAGACCAATCTTTAAATTGTGTTCCTTATTCAATGGACCGAAAAGCTTATGCTGATACTTATGGACCAACTGTTGGTGATCGGTTAAGATTAGGAAACACTAATTTATGGCTGGAAATTGAAAAAGATTATACTGTTTATGGTGATGAATGTAAATTCGGTGGTGGAAAAGTTTTAAGAGAAGGAATGGGGCAAGCTACTTCTATATCTTCTGATGATGCTTTGGATTTGGTTATCACAAACGCCGTAATTGTTGATCATACTGGCATCATCAAGGTGATTTATGTTATAATATAGTTAAACAAAATTTCTTGATTTCAATAAAAAAAAAATATTTATATTTTTTTTCTTTTTCCTTTAGGCTGATATTGGTATTAAGGATGGTATAATTGTTAATATTGGTAAAGCTGGTAACCCTGATGTAATGGAAGGTGTTACTCCTGGTCTCATTGTTGGTCCTTCTACAGAGGCACTTGCTGGTGAAGGTCATATCTTTACGGCTGGCGCAACTGATGCTCACGTCCATTTTATTTGCCCACAACTTATTCCAGAGGTTTGTACTAAAATTATTATTTTTATTTCTGAATTTATTTAATCCTTAATTATTATATTTTATAGGCTATCTCATCGGGTATCACAACTTTAGTAGGAGGCGGTACTGGTCCAAATACCGGTACAAATGCCACAACTTGTACGCCAGGCAAAACTCATATAGAAATGATGCTTAGTGCTACTGATGATATACCAATGAACTTTGCTTTCACTGGTAAAGGAAATGCATCAGATCCTCTCGCATTAAGTGAACAAATTAAAGCTGGCGCAACGGGATTAAAGTTGCATGAAGATTGGGGTACAACGCCAGCAGCAATTGATACTTGCTTGGAAGTTTGTGACAAATATGATGTAGCAGTAAGTTTTTTATCAATTAATAAGTATTTTTAAATTTATGAACTTAAAATATTGATTTCTTTTCATTCTTTCATTTTATAGGCAACTATCCATACTGATACTCTCAATGAATCTGGTTTCGTAGAACATTCAATTGCAGCTTTTAAAAATCGTACAATTCACGCATACCATTCAGAAGGTGCTGGAGGTGGTCACGCTCCAGATATTATTAAAGTGTGTGGTGAACCAAATGTTCTTCCATCGTCAACTAATCCAACTCGACCTTTTACTGCAAATACACTCGATGAACATGTTGATATGTTAATGGTATGCCATCATTTAGATAAGAATATACCAGAAGATATAGCATTTGCAGAATCACGCATAAGAGCTGAAACTATTGCAGCAGAAGATGTTTTACATGATATTGGTGCTATTAGTATTATAAGTTCAGATTCTCAAGCTATGGGTAGAATCGGCGAAGTTGTATTAAGAACTTGGAAAACAGCTCATAAGATGAAATTGCAAAGAGGAAGATTAGGGAATGATGAAGATGGCCCTTCTGACAACTTTAGAATTAAAAGATATGTTGCCAAATACACTATTAATCCGTAAGTACACATTATATGTAATTAAATATGCTCATATATTTATATGTTAACAATATCTTCTGATTGTTATTATAATAGTGCCATAGCAGCTGGTTTAAGTCATTTAATAGGATCTATTGAACCAGGAAAAGTTGCAGATTTAGTAATGTTTAAACCAGCATTCTTTGGATCAAAACCCGAAATAGTTATGAAATCTGGTATAATTGTTTGGTCGCAAATGGGAGATGCAAATGCATCAATTCCAACCACACAACCTGTTATTTCAAGACCAATGTTTGGTCATTATGCAAGTGCTGCAGCAAAAAATTCGATTGCTTTTGTTAGTCAAATATCTATTAAAGAAAGAAATGTACAAAAATATGGTTTGAGAAAACGTATTGAAGGTGTAAAGAAATGTAGAGGTATTGGCAAGAAAGATATGAAATTAAACGATACCTTACCTAAAATTGAGGTTGATCCTGAAACCTATGTTGTAAAAGCCGACGGTGTTATATGTACTTGTGAACCTATTCCAAAATTACCTTTAACTCAAACGGTTTACTTGTTTTAAAAATTTTTTAACAATATGTACTTGGATCTGTAAAATAGTATTTCTCACGTATTTATTCATTCATTAAAATTATTTATTAAAATAAAAATTAAAAGAATGTTCAAAAAAAGAAAAACTAATAGCATGAAGAGGTGAGACTCAATGGTATAACATTAAGCTAAAATAAATCAATCTGTATCAACCATTAGAATTAGCTAACTCTGCCATTTTGAATTAATTTGTCTAATAAATTTCTAATAAAAGAATAAACTGAAAATATACATTTTATAAATTTTTCAAAAATCCATGATCTTTTCCCAATAGAGCAATAAATTAAATCTTTAAATCAATCAATAATAGTAAAACATTTATATAAATATAATGATTAATAAAATTGGGTTTTTCATCTATTTCTCTCTTCTTAATACACTTTACAAAATGTATTTTTAAGGGGTTTTCAAAGATAAGGTTGCAGCCTTGCAGGTAAAACCTTTAGATTTAGTAAATCATTGAAATAATAAAAAGTAAAATCTGATAAAACTTAATTTAAATCTTATTGCTGAAACTAAAACTTTAGATTTTTGCCAAATTTCAAAATGAGTTAACTAACAACTTTATCTTAAGAGGTATTTTTTTCAATATCAATATTATAAAATAATTATAAGTAATATTTAGTAATATTCTTATAATTGTAATAATGAAATACCTGTAGAAAGACTGTCCAATAAAGCAGTAAAATCTCAATCTAATATTGGATGCAATTATTAAAATATTCATGTTTATTTAGCACTACCTTTAGCTTTATTCAACATACTTTAAAATAACACTATTGCTACAAATGTGCTTTGTGTCATTAAAATATAATAACAATTGATAATTTAATAACTGAATAGTTGTATAATGAAATATATAGTCAAGAATTCAATAAAAATGCCTAGTGTAGAAATGGCATGTTGATTAAATATAATTTATTTTATAATAACAAAAAAACAAATATTAAAGAACTACTAATTACAATATTTATATTTAGAACAAATTATAATTCTAAACAGTATAAAAACAAACCTTCTCTAATAATAGTAAAGTTTTTATTTTATATATTTGAATTTTTTACATTTATATTCTTTCATTTTATTTATTTTTATTCTTCATTTATTACTTCACCTGATTTGTAAAACACTAAAACACAATTTTTACTATACCTTGTGTATTCATTTTTTTTTATATATAGCAAAATACCGCAAGCCATATAATTTGATAGCATGTGATCAATTATCAATTATATCTATTTGACTCAGGAAATAATTTCATATGCGCTAATCTATACCCTAACCCTAATTTTTTTGAGATAAACCCAAATTTTATGGACCAATCATAACGATAGTCAAATCACCTGACATTATGTGGTAACACTGATGACGCCACTAATGACGCCAAAAAATTTTTATACATACGATGTAAATTTTTCTGTTACTGTTACGAAAGTTAAGTGGTAAAGAAATATGGTATTAAGACTCATATTGAATTTTTAATAACCAGAAATTTTTATACTTATCGCATTTTTATAGATCTGTTGTACAATTTTTTATATGCTGCTATTTTTTAACGCGTAAAAAAACTGTTACTTTCAATGTCAAATTCTAAGCAGCAAAAACCTTTTGAAAAAGAAAATTACCCTATTTCATCTGAAATAATATACTATGGTGACCGAAAATTTACTTATGTTGTTATTCAAGAAGGTACCTACCCACCAACTGTAAATCATACCGAAGCACCTAATTATTTTCCTATACCTGATAATTATATTATTAAAACTACCTGGGGTCAGGCTAGTAGAAGTCGTACTATTCAATATTCTATTTATTACGCAGAAGAAAAACCTCATTACCTAATTTGTTTTGGAGATAATTTACAATATCAAGTTGTTTCGGCTCAATCACCATTTGATGCTTCTGTTGAACTGCACAAAGTAAGTTTTTATACATTTATTATTTTAAAAAAAAATCATAAAAGAATATATTTTAATTTATACATATTTTATCAGATTATAACACCAGATAAGAAAACTGCTGTTTCTGGAGTTTATCTTTTTGGACTTCAATTAAAATGCATTGATAGATATCGCAAAGGTAGACCACGTGAATTGAAACTACATGAAGAATTAAGCAAAACTACACAAATTAAACGTGCAAAAGGTCTTGAGAAAAAAGAACAAATACACTTTGAAAATTCAATTAAAAACTTTTACAATCCTAAAGATCGTGTAGTTTTAAGAACTTTGGATTTTACTATAGAAAATAAAGAATATCATGTAACATTTGAAGATGATGATAGTGTTAAAAAAAAACAAAAATTACAATCAATGGCATATGTACAAGATATAGAAAATATACCTAGTAATGCATATCGCCATCTTGCAGCTGTAGAATCAACATTACCACGAGAATATGCTATTTCTCAAACCCGTCAAGAGATTAATGCATGTATGGGAGAATTAATACCCATTAATTTTATTGATTTAAATTCTACTATTGTACAAGAAGGACCATTGGAAGAACCTGATATAACCGATACATTAATTATTGAACAAGTTGTTAGTGCAACAGGAAAGGGTGCTTACCAAAGTGTTAAAAAAATTCTTGAATATATAATACCATCTTATATTAAAAAAGGAGTATTAGATCCTGCAATACCAACTATTCATCTTCGAATATCTGGTGATGGGCGGAACGTAGGACGAAAAGTGAAGCATGTGATGATTACCGTAGCACTATTGGATGATTCAATGAATCTTTTCAAGCCTGATTGTCATTATACAACCGTTTTATTTCCAGGAACAGAAAATTATCCAACTTTAACAGTTGCAGTAAATGCCCTAATTCAAGAATTGCAAGAATTAAGTAATAATGGAATGATTATTAACAATATTTTATGGAATTTTGAGCTTTTTTTTAGCTCAGATTGGAAGTTTCTCGCTAACTGTTTGGGTTTTAATGCCGCAAACTCCAATTATTTCTGTCCATGGTGTGAGATAACTAAAAACCAACGTGGAAATGGGCAAGTTGACTGGGTGATTAGTAAATCAATGAGTATTTTAAATGAAAATCCAATAGCATACCCAGGTCATAAATTACCACCACTTTTCAATATGATTTCGCTTAAAAATCATGTTCCTGATAAGCTTCACATAATGTTACGTATAACTGACCGCTTGTGGGAGTTAGTTTTACAAGAAATCAAAAACGAGGGATTATTTAATGACATATCTCGGAATATTATAATCAAAGAGATGGAAAAATTAAAAATCCGATTTGAGTTTTGGAAAATTCGTGGTACTGAGAATTGGGATTACACCTCTTTAATGGGGGATGATAAGCTTCGTGTTCTTCGGAACTTTAATTTGGCAAAACTTTTTGATCCAGAACGTGCTGCTTTAATTAAAAGTTTGTGGAATGGATTTGCTGAGTTATATGACCTTTTAGGAGAAATAAAAACAGATCCACAATATTTTCGTTTAAAAGCAAAAGTATGGTATGAATTATTTTTGAAAAAAACTGTGATAGATCCTGAAACTAATAATATTTTAGAACAAGGACTTTATCGATCATCAGATGTAACCCCATATATTCATGTTTTGGTATCACATGTTTGGGAATTTATGCTTATCCATAAAAGGTGGGGATTAAATGCATTTTCGTGCAGTGCAGTCGAAAAAAAGAACCACAATCATGTTTGTTATTTTTTTAAGAAAACTCTCAAGAATGGTGGAAATTTTCAAAATAAAACATCAGCAATCTGCGAAATTTTGGAACATGAAAACCGACTTCTATTTTATACTCAAAATAATGTCTCACTTTCCTATCCAAAACCTCAAAATATTCACATTTTATAATTTTAAAAATTTATCTTTGGTTAATATTTAGATAGAAAAAAATATCAAAACACTTTATTATAGACGTATATAATTTTTTTTTTCTATTACAATAAAGTTTTAAATTTGTTTAACCCAAAAACGTATATATATAAACCCTGCTTCACAATAATTCTCCTTTGCATCTCTTTCACCCTTAATTTTCCATTCAACAACAACTTCTCCAGGATTATATTTAGATTTGCGCCTTTTAGTGTTTACACCTTCAGTAATACAACGAGTTGCAATGGCTAATGGGTTATTTTTTAAATGCTGAGGTGGATCACTAAATAAAACAACATAAGTTTGTTGTTCATTGTCATAAAATTTTCGACCCCATAATGGATTATTCAAGATTTCACTTAATATTTGATATCCAGAAGATCCTCGGAAAACACACTTGTAGACGTTTCTATTACTATGATGATGATGAATATGTCCTTTAAAAATATTAAAAAACTGATGTTCGGTACAGGCAAGAGACACTAATTGACGACCTCCTTTTTTAAATCCATGTGGAAGTTTGCGGTGAATTAAGTAAACTAGAATACTTCTAAACTTTTCATTGTTTGTTTCTGACAAATTATCCAAGTCATTACGCGGAATATTATATTTTTTCACAATATTTAAATGCCGTGAAAGCCCACTTTGTTTCTTAAATCTTTTTTGACAAGTGGAACAGATAAATTCTGATGTAGATGTAGTAAAAGACGTTGTAAGTGAAGCAAAACTTGTATTAGTGCTTGACATATTAGTAGTAATGAAATCTGAAAAAGTATAAACATGTTTTTAATATTATTTAAAAAATAAAAAGTAATTTTGCAATAACTAACTTTATTTACAGTTAATAACTGGTAATATTCAAAAGCGCGAGACACCAATTGCCAATTACTAGTCTTCCGCTACTCAAACTCATCGGTTTTGGGTTGTGCTCATCGGTTTGACGCGTGTTTTAATATGTTATTTTTTTTTTTTCAGGGTGCGTTCGCTAAATTGATCACAAAAAAATTTTTTTTTACTATTTGTGATGGTGTAATGTTGATCAAAATTACTATATAAAATTAGGCCCAATCTTGATAGTTAGCCGATATGTAATGCTATTTATAATAACTGACTATAATAGATCAATAATTAGTAAATTAATATAATTCTGCCTAAACATTAAATAAAATGGCCAGAATTATCAATCCTGATATGATCCTGATATGATAATTTGAATATAAAATATGAGGTGATATTTAATGTCATATAATATTTAATGCATCAATATAATTATAAAATATTTATTAATAGAATTATTAATTACATTTAATTAAAAATCGCAAAAATTCTTTGTTTTACCAAAAAAAAATTTGTTATAATAATAATAATTCGTTATAAGAAGGGTCATTTTGTATATACTGTTTGTGTACTTTACTTCATACTATGTTATACAGTAAATAAATAGTAAACTTTGTTATATCAAAATTTTTTTCATATTTAAAATTGGCCTTATGAAAAGTTTTTATACTTAAAATATATTTAAAATTTTATTAAAATATACTTTATAAAATAAGTATAAATTTTAATTCACAATATACTTATAATATACCTAAAATATGCTTAAAATACTCTTAAAATATACTTTTAATGCACTTGTTTTTTGCCCAAGTACTTAAATTATATTTAAAATATACTTAAACTAGAATTTAAGTACAATATAAGTGTATTTTTTACATGTTTAAAATATTCTTAAAATATGCTTAGAATTTAATTTAAGTATATTTTAAGTATATAAAAAATATACTTATATTGTACTTAAATTTTAATTTAAGTATATTTTAAGAATATTTTAAACATGTAAAAAATACATTTATATTGTACTTAAATTTTAGTTTAAGTATATTTTAAGTATAATTTAAGTATTTAGGCAAAAAAACAAGTGCATTAAAAGTATATTTTAAAAGTATTTTAAGCATATTTTAGGTATATTATAAGTATATCGTGAATTAAAATTGATACTTATTTTAAGTATATTTTAATAAAATTTTAAATATATTTTAAGTATAAAGACTTTTCATAGGGTGGTATTATACAGATAATTTGTTATATTATATTATTCGCTATATTGAGGTTTGCTATAAAGAGGGATGACTGTATAAATTTATTTACACTATTTTTTTAGATATGAATGTTAGAGTATTGCTAGTACAGATAAAAGAAAACATTTAAGAAGATGCTTTAATATCATATTTGTAATGAATTAATGATAGATAAAAGAAAAAAATATGAATTTATGTATACAGAGTACGTACTTAGTGTTCCTCACGAGTTAAGTTGAGTTAAGTTGAGTTTTAAATCAATTTTTTATATGATAAAATTTGTCCTATGCTAATTTTTATAATACTTTAACTATATTATTATTTATGTTTAATATGCAAATCTATATGAGTCATTTTAAGTCACATATGCAGAATACTAAGAGTACTCATGTCTATTTCGTATGAAACAAAAGATAAAAGATAATGCAGTAAAATATGGCAGGTTTATAAAGGTTGGAGGCCTGAAAAGGATGAATTTAAAGTAATTGGATTGCAAATTGCTAGATCCATGTTACAACTAACTGTTCTTATCAGGGATGAAGCTAATGTAAATAGATATTATCATTTATATGAGTTAAGAGTTTCTATGCAAAAGTCAGAATCAGCTGTTATAGTAAAATTTATAAAGACTTTATTAATCTTATATAATATTTTGATAGTCAATATATCCTTATTCTCTCACAGATCATCAGATAGATAGAAAGAAGATAGTTGACTATAGATTCTGAATAAAAAATATTAATCCATATTTGACTTATAATATGTTTTTTATATTAATAAACTATGCAAGTAGGACCCCAGATATCACATATATAACTCATAACTGATCTGCATGAATTTAGCATTTTTTGCTTCTGCTAAAATAAACCTAATTTGCTAAAAATCAAATTATCACATTTTAAATCTATACTAATTTGCTAAAACTCAAAATATGAGTTATAGTAAAATTCTAAATAATATAGGTTTAAATTTGCTTAATAAAATATAATTTCAGTTTATTCAAATTATTTATAGTTTAGTAAATTTATTGTTAATTTACTGAAATTAACAGTTTTCTTTTTTTATTATCAATAAAAAAATAAATAATTAAGGGTATTGCTAAATATCACCAGTGGTGATAAAAATTTTTGACTGTGACATTATTCTAATTATAATATAAATATCATTATTATATGTAAATTTATGTGTAGAACAAGTTTGCCTTAGATTATAAAGGCTGTTGTTTAGATAGTTTTTGAGAAAAATAGGAAAGTTTGATTTTATAAGTAAAATACAATTTTTGTTTTAAAAAAGATTTTTTTTAGTCAAATTTTCAAAATTTTAGTGTGATTAGTATCTACTCAGGTTTGTTTTACACATTTATTATTTAAATTGAAATTTTTGAAAAAAAAATTATGATGTATTTTTTAACTCTGGCCAAAATTATAATTTTCGGCCAGAATTAAGTGGTGTAGTGACGATCACCACTGGTGATATTTAGCAATACCCAATAATTAATATAAATTAAACTGTTAATTTTTATAATTTATAATTAAAAATATGTAGATTATAGTTAAAAATAATAATTAATAAAAACAATAAATTAAATATAAATAATTATTAAAAAATAAAATGTTGCGAAACTAACCAGACAGTTTTTGGCCTGCATTATGCTTAATTTTGACTGGAATTATACTTAATTTTGGCCAAAATATAACCCGGACCCTAAAACTTATATTTTTAAAAGAATTAATTTAAAATTCACCCCAGGTTATTTTTAATTTTAATCACCTGAGGTGATTACTTTAATTTTTAAATTTAATTTCACCCCCGGATTATTTTAAATAAATTTTAATATTATTTCACCTTGGGTGATTTTAAATTTTTTTTCACCCGAGGTGAATTTAATTATTTTTAAATTTCATTTCACCTCGGGTGATTTTCACCCTATTTGTATGTCATACAAACACTTTCAAATAAATGTTTATCTCACCAAACTATTTTCGTTTATAAAGATGTGATAATTAATGCAGTATCGCTTATCCTTGCAAATTCTCTACCATAATGGAATTAGACTGGGAATCCTACATAAATTTTTCCAAAGATAGCAAAGATACCTTTTATACATCTTTTCCCGAAAGTAATAGTAGTGAGTTAGAGAATATTACTCCTCCTGATAGTTATTTTTCCGTTGAGTTAGAGAATATTACTATACCTCCTAATAGTTATTTTTTCGTTGAAGATACTAGTATACCTCCAAACAATAATTTTTCTGTCGTAGAACCTCTATCTAATGCAATAGAATCTATAGAACTATCTGAATCTTTATCTAACGATACAAGCACTTCTGATTATTCTACTTATCAGTATAATCTCACTATTGGAAATAGTTTTGATGACTGGGAATCTGTTGATAGATTTATACATGAATATTGCCTAGAAAGAGGCTTTAGTTATCAGGTTTATCGAAATGATAAAGACTTAAATGATCATACTATTACCCGTCACAAATTATTTCATTATTCTCTAAGTGGTAATTATGAGGCACGTAAGAAAATTGATCAGAATGAACATCATGTGCGAGACTCTAACAAAACAGGATGTGAGTGGCATTGCAACTTCAAATTACCAAAAACAGAGCAACAAATAAGATGTACAACATTAGTAGATGTACATAATCATGAATTAAATTATACTGAGATTGCTCATCTTAATGCAAGATATCGTCAATTCAATGATGACATGGTACAGGATTTAAGATTTTTTACAGATTGCAAGGTTGCGTCCATTATACAATTAGAGATTCTTAAGAAAAAACATCCACATCATGTTTTTCATAAGCAAGATGTCTATAATTCAATTTATAAGCTACATGAAAATTGTAAAGATGAATCTCCAGACTCTGGTTCATTTCTTAATAGT